TTTTCTCTTGCTGCTTTCGTGATTTTCTCTCTTTATCTTTCAGAGTTTGACTATGATGTGCTTAGGTGTAGATCTCTTTGTATTTATCTTATTTTAAGTTCTTTGAGATAAATATTTTTCATCAGGTTTGGGAAGTTTTCAGACATTATTTTTTCAAATTTTTTTCTGTCCCTTTCACTCTCTTCCTCCTCCTGGGATTCCAATTACGCATACATTAATGTTGTCCCAGAGGTCTCTGAGGGTCTGGTCAATATTCTTCAATCTTTTTTTCCTCTGTTCTTCAGATTGGATATTTTCTGTTGATCTGTCTTCAATTTCACTGATTCTTTCTTCTGCCATTTTGACTCTGTTGTTGGGCCTCTTCAGTGTATTTTTCATTTCATTTATTGTACTTTTCAACTCCAGAATTTCCATTTGGTTCTTTTTTATACGTATTCTAAGTAGGAAACTTAGCATTACATCATCGACACCCTTACATTTGCTTTCTTTCAGCCTTTATCGTGATAAAAATTTAAGCCTCTTGAGAGCATTAGCAATGTGGATTCACAAAATGGTTAGGCAGAAATGCTAAGACTAAGTGACCTTAATGGGACTAACTGTTCAATTGATTCTTGTAGACCATACTGCCCATTGGACTATACTGCTTAACCAGTCTGACACAGGGGCAGGTAATATCCAGCCTTCCTTTCCTAGAATATTTTATTGTTTGCTGTTTTCTAACTACAGCTATACCTAGAAGCCCACTGCCACCTAATAAGCCATAATAAGCAGGGTAGTAAATAGTTTCATCTTTGTCTAAGGACCAACTCAAGTCAATTAATGAATTTCTATAGAGCTGAATTGAAAATTCTAAGGCCACTTCTAGGCCCAAGGAATAGCAAGTCATTATAGGTTGGCAGTGTTCACTCTTGGACTATAGGAGGTGTTTTAGCTTTTCTGTGACCTGCATCCTGACCCTAAGTCATCCTAAGGCAACTTTAGGCACCCTAAGTCACTCAGAAACAATTGTAACCTGGTTTGAAGTGTCGTGATCATTTTGTCTCCCAGATACTGCTTCCCCTAAAATTCTTAAGTTTATGAGTTATCTTGCTGTCCTTCACTATCCGTATTTCATTGATCCTATGAAAATCAACCTGTGCTTCATAATCTAGATTGCATCTCTCAATATCTGCCCCATGCATCTTCTAGTTATCTACAGTATGGATGCAAACTATATTCTTCCAATCAGATACCATCTGATCAAATCTGGAAGGCAGAAATGCAGTGAAGACTATATTCGTCTGCTCTTGGATATTGTTGCTGTCAAGAAAGGTCGTGAAACTATGAAATCTTCCTGTATCCCTGCTCCAGCATCTATTCATAGGTTGAGAGGCAATTTCTTTGACAGCGGTATCCTTTCTTTCAGCCTCTCTAATGATTTTCTAAGCACTTACATATCAAATCTATTCCACTATGGTGAGAGAGGTAGTTGGTGGTTGGATTAGAGTTGTGCCCGGATATCAGGGCACAGGGATGTGCAGTCACTCCATCTTCTCAAAATCCTGATAGTTTGTGTAGCTTCTCTCTCCTTCTGATAATTCTTGTAGGACTGGACTGCCTCCAACCCCATAACCCTCTCATGGTTGTTATGGGTCAGGAATTCAGTAGAGATTTGGCTGGACAGTTCTGACTCATAGTCATGTATGACATTGTAGTCAGATGGTGGCCAGAGCTGGAACAGCAGGAGAATAGAGCCTCTGGGGGCTGGCCAGGCGTCTCTCTTTCTCCATGTAGTCTCAGGGCCTTTCCATGTGGTCTTCATGCGTAGAATAATAGAATAGTTTGGGCTTCCTCACAGCTTGGTGGCTTCAGAGCAGTCAAACTGCTTACATAGCAGCTAAGGCTTTAATAGCATTTGGTTCTTTTTTATAATTTTGTCTCCCTGTGTCTGTATTGCTTAATGGTCAGCCAATGATTAGACAGAGTTTGTTTTCAAACACCTGGAGCCAGTAAGGCCTCTGTCCTCTGCTATTGGATCTGTGTGAGTAGAGAAGCATATTCAGAGTTTGGGCTATGTTGAAATCTGCCCTGGTTTTTACTTTCCATTGAGCTCTTTTTCATTTCTTATGTGCATGTGTGCAACCTCATGATCAACCAGGAGTGTGTGGCTAACTTGGGCCCTCTCAGGTCTTCACTGCCATGCAGTGTCAGCCAAGGAAATGCTTGCTGCAACGTCAGGCTAGTAGAGCCGTGGCCCTCCCGCTCACCTGCCTCAGAGATCATCAGTTCCACCAACAATATTGCTGGGTGTGGGCATTGTCCACCGCTCCAAATTGAGTGAGTCCCCCTTCTACTGGAAAACTAGTGGTTCTCATAGCCTGCCCCATCCTGGTAGAACTTTACCCCAACTGAATGCGGGGGATGATGGAAGCAGACCCAGTGAAAAAGCTCTTACCCGAAGAAGTTCAGCAGTTTCATAAGCATAAACACTTCTCAGATTGTGGTGTGCCTCTGGTCAATTTTCAGAGTGCTGAAATGATTGTTTCAATTTTGTCCAGTTGAATAGTGGCTTTTGGGGGAATGGAAAACTAGAGGTCCTACCCCTCTGCTCACTTTGTTTTATATTCAGCTTCGTTTCCTTTACCTGACTTCCAAATTCAGAGGCTCCTAAAACTCAGTCCCAGGCCCTCTTTTCTTTCCATCTACTCTAGATGCTCTCTTCCAGTCCCACAACTTTAAATGTGATTGATATACTGATGATTCCCAATTTTATATCTCCAGCTCTGACCTCCCCCTTGAGCTCCATCTTGAATCTCTGGCTGACTGCTTGACATCTCTACCTATATGTCTAATAGACCACTCAGCATTTAGCATGGCCAAAGGAGAATGCTTCAGTTTCTCCTCCAAGGCTGTCTTTCTCCACTTCTCATGTCGTCTGTTCTCAAGTTACAGTTGCTCAGATTTAAAACCTAAGAATTATCTTTGACTCCTCACCTTCCTTCATCCCCACACCCAATCTGAGAGATTGGATGTGAGATCTACTTCTAGAATATAATTCCAAATGGATCCACTTTATCCATCTCCATTGCCAGCCTGCCTACTTCAAGCTTCCATCATCTACTGCCTGAAAGACTGCAACAACCTCCTCATGGTTCCCCCTGCTTCCATTCCTGTCCCCTTTCAGTCTGTTCACTCAATGATCAGAGTAATCTTTTCAAAATATAAAGTAGGTCTTGTTGCTTGCTACTGCATTAAGAATAAAATCTATAGTTCATGCCATGAACATGCCAAACTCATCCCTACCTTAGAAACTTGGCACTGTTTCAGGCTGGACCACTCTTTTCCCAATCCTTCTTGTGGCTGATGCCTCCTTAGGGTGATCTTCACTGACTACACTGCTCCCATCATTCTGTATCACTTACTCTTGTTTTTCCTTCATAGCATTTTTCACTCTGTCACTATCTTGCTTATTTATTTACTTCATACCCTGTCTGTCCTCTTTCTGATACGGCCCCAGGCCGGCACATAGATGACCCGCTGTGAGTGCACGTATGTGGAATGTGTGAGTGTACACTGCGACCTGAGAGTGGGCTCCAGCACAGAGGTGCAGGTCATTCATTTAGCAGCTGCTCACCAAGCCCCTGCTGTGGGTCAGGTGTTGTACTTGATATTGGGGATAAGAAGTCATAAAGGACATAGTCCCTGTTTATTTTATAAGGAGCCAAATTCTGAATGTTTTTAAAAGACAACCCCATTTCCTTTAATAAAACAAAATCAGAATATCTAGGCAAGGAGGGGATAGCTGGGCTCTGATTCCTGTATGTCATCTTCCCCATTTAGGCCTCTCGTTCTGAGGTGCTGCTTTTACCACTGGCCCAGATGTGCTCATAGGTCCCCTTACCTTGGTTTTTCTGAGCATAACTGAAGCAGGCAAGGCCTTTCACAAAAATTTACTAAACACTATAGAAGAAAAATGGAGACATAAACAAGAATCCTCAAGGGCAGAAATATAGCCTGAGACATCAGCCCTTCTGCCCAAAAGGACTGGCATAGGTAAACTTCAGATCTTGTGGAGTCCCCTCCAAGGAGACCTCCCTTCAGGACATTTTGATCATTTTTTGGTTGAGACTAGGAGACAGTGGACTTGTCCTTGCCTCCAAGAGGACTCTTCCTCAGATTATCAGTGCCATGATGGAGCTCATGCCTTGGGTAAGATTTTACTCCCTCATCAAAGAGGAAAAGCTTTGTTCTCCAGGCCCAACAATTAACCACAGGTTAATTCCACGTTTTGTAAAGTGTGGAACTTATGTCATATGTTAGATTTAGATGTTTCAAGGTCAGATTTTAAGAACAGAAAAAATTAGTCCCTTTTCAAGTCTCTCAGTCCTTCTGATTCTATCACTGGGGGAGTCTCAGTTGAGTGCTACCATGTCTTTAACACCTCTCTTTGACAGTTGTTCTCCTGTTCTTCCTCTTAAATAGCGCTCCAAGCCTCTGGCACCAGTACCTGGCTAGAATTGTTTCATTTTTATTGTATTTGTTTTTATTGGTATTTTCTTAAGATAATGATCTAAAGAGTCCTTTTTAAAAAGAATTTATTAAGTAGAGAAAGTTGGCTTACATAAAATTATAAAATAAGTAGTAGTATAGTTGGTATGGAATCCCTGGGTGGCACAAACCATTAAGCACTCAACTACTAACCAAAAGGTGAGCGGTTCAAATCCACCCAGAGGTGCTTCAGAAGGAAAGCCTGGTAGTCTACTTCCAAAAGGTCACAGCCATTGAAAACCCTGTGGAGCACAGTTCTACCCTGAAACACATGGGGTCACCATGAGTCAGAATCAACTCTGCAGCAATTGGTTTAGTTTTATAAGTGGTATGAGAACATAGCATGAGCCATGAAGGCAGTAGGGGCTGGGCGACTGAGGCTTGCTGATACGGTAGTGTGGCAGGGGTTCAAAGACCATGCTATTAAGGCAGATGTTTATTAACTCAAAAATTGTTTATTTTCCCTTCTGTAGTGGAGCACATGATCCAGAAGAACCAATGTCTATTCACCAACACCCAGTGTAAGGTGTGCTGCGCCTTGCTTATATCTGAGTCCCAGAAGCTGGCACATTACCAGGTATGCCTCTGACCTCCAGAACTGCTTTACTTTCCAGACCCCAACTTCTCCCTGGCTTGCACAGGGAAGTGTAATTCCTTCTTAGCCACCCATACATTGTCTCCATGCATGTTGGCTTGTGACTTGAAGGACTCAACTGCTCTGAGTCTCATCTCTCCCATCTGAAACAGGACCGTTATGCTTGTATCTTCCCTTGCAGCTTCCTATAGCAGGAAGAATGAGATTTGGCTTTAAATAGGCCTAAGTTTGAATCACAACTCTGCTACTCATCTTGGGCAGGAAACCTCACCATCTTCAGCCTCAGTTTTCTCATTTGTAAGATAGGGATGATAATCATTGTCTTATAGATTTGTTGTGGAGATTAAATTGGACAGCATGTAAAGTTCCTTGCACAGAGTAGGAGCTCAATAAACTAGGCTTCTTCCCCTACCCACTCCTTCTCAGAACTTTTTGTAAGGAGGAACCAGATGAAAATCTAGTGTTTTTTGAGTGCCTTAGGTATGAAATGGCATTTGGCTATCTTTGATCTTTTTCCTGGGTTCTTGCAGAGCAAAAAACATGCCAACAAAGTGAAGAGATACCTAGCAATCCATGGAATGGAGACATTAAAGGGGGAAACGAAGAAGCTAGACTCAGATCAGGTAATACATGTTGAGACCGCTCACTTCCTGGTGAAGCCAGCAGGCAGGTTGGTGTGGTGGAAAGAGCGTGGGCTTTGGAGTCAGACCGACTTGCCTTCAAATCCTGGCCCCGCTGTGTGACTTGGACCTCGATTCTTCCTCCACAAAAAATGCGGATGATAATACCTTTTACAATTTTTCCAAACTAAAATGAGGGAGGGTTTATAAAAATCACCCAACACAGAGCCTGGCACATAGTAGAGGCTCATAAATGGAGCCCAGTGGTTGGTTGAACAGGACAAGAAGCTGCCCATTCACTGCTCAAGGAGAGAAAGTGAAAGGGAGCCAGGCTGCTTGCTTTCTTGAGATCAAGGAGAAATGCCAAGTTCAGCACTTGAACGTTTTGAATAAACACATGTAAGGAACACCTTTCCAAATGCCTGCTCTGATTGAGATGTAATCACATTTGCTTTTTGGCTCAGAAATAGTGTGAGAATTTTGCTGAAACGATTCCCCACCCCTGAGAGAGTGCAATTATTTTTATTCCTTGAGAGGCTGTGCAAAGGTCATGAAATGAGAAGTCAGCAGACGAGGGGTCTCTGACCTACTAGTTGTGTGACTTTGTGTCACCTCCCTAAAATGGACCTAATAATCCCTACCTCTTAAGGGTATTGTGAGGTAAACTTCCAGTTCCCAGTAGATGCTCAGTGAATAGGAGCTTACTTTACAAATTGTTGCCTCCTATTATAGTGGCCACAGGTTTAGAAGTGCCTTGCTTGTCTCTTCTCTAGATTCCCTGGAATCATCCTCTGGTGGCCCTTCTCCTTATGATTTAGAATTTAGGAAGACAAAAGAGTCCCAGTTCTCTCACTAGTCAACTCTGACCCTGGGCAAGTTCTTCTTTGTGCCTCGGTTCCTGCAACTCTTAGAGTGGTCCAGTGGTTCAAATGAGACCACATATATGGAAGGATTTTGAAAACTGCAATTCTGTGTACGTAAGGGGTTGTTAACATCCAGCCCCACTCTCCTTCCTGATGTAGGTAAATGATTACTACCTTACAGCAGTGGTTCTCAGTTGGGGGCGATTTTTGCTCCCAGGGCACATTTGGCAACATCTGAAAACATTTTTGGTTGTCACAGCTTGAGGTTGTGTTACTGACATCTAGTGGACAGAGGCCAGGGATGCTGCTAAATACCCTACAGTGTACAAGATAGCCCACAGTAAAGAATTATCCAGCTCACAGTGTCAGTAATGCCAAGGTTGAGAAATCCTGTCTTACAGTGAATACCCTATTCAGAGATCAGACCTTCTCAGACTTTGGGAGCCCTTAGTATAGGCTTGAAATACATTGTTTTCCCATCTAACCATAATCAACAAATGAAACCCAGTGTTCTGCTTGCTCAGCAAACCCTAAGCATCTCCTGTGTGCCAGACTCAAGCACAGTGCTAGGCTAAAAAATAGATAAGTCAAGCAGTCCATGCCCAAACGTACTTTAGTTCATAGAAAAGCCACCTGAGGTATGACAGTGGCAGTTCAGGGTGATAAGTTGTATGCTAGAGGTCTGTTTAAAGCACTCTAGGGGTATAGATGAGGAACAAGATTAATTCTTCCAGAAATATTTGCACATAAGAGCTTGATAATTATTTGCTGAATGATTTTCTTGAATGAAGGTCTCCTAAAAGAAGTGATATTTAAACTGGACCTTGAAGGCTAAACAGGCATATGCCAGGCAGGCAAGGAAGGAAGAGCATTCTAGGCAGCAAGAATGGCCCAAGCAAAGCAAGAAAGTATCAGAGAACAAAGTTGGGAATGGTGAGTAGAGATTGGGATGAAATAGCTGAAGATTAATCCAGAAAGGTAGGTGGGTGTCAGCTTTTAAAGGGGCCTTGGATGCCCATCCTCCTATGGGCATTGGGGAACCATTGAAGATTTTCTGGCTTGGCAGTGGCATGATCAGACCTGTGTTCTCTCTCCCAACCAGAAGAACAACAGAAGCAAAGACAAGAACCAGTGCTGCCCCATCTGTAACATGACCTTTTCCTCCCCTGTCGTGGCCCAGTCACACTACCTGGGGAAGACCCACGCAAAGAACTTAAAGCTGAAGCAGCAATCCACTAAGGTGGAAGGTACTGGTTTTCCTGAGTAGTGCTTTATGGGCCGGGTGCTCTCAGAAATGGTCACTGGGGCCACAGACTTGAAGAGGTTGAATTGCTTTTGTGAAGCCCTTAAAAATATCAGAATAGACCCAGCTTCATTGAAATGTAGCCTCAGAGTTGTGTTCAGCTAACCTCCCTTTCTTTGCTTACATAAGTTTTTCTCAGTAGAAGCGTCTTAGCCCTGAGCTTTTGTCCACATAATTATAACTCAGGAGTACCAAGTCGTCCAGGCCGTGCACACAGGGAGAGCAGTCTATCTCCTACCTTTCCCACTTAGATTTTACCCTCCCAGCATCACCCTGCCCTTACCAGCATGTGTTCTAAGTTGAAAGCCAAATCCTTGTCTTTTTCCAGTGTGAAGGTTACACTCCGTTCACTTTTATCCTCAAAAACTGCCTATTCTCCTCAAGACAAGGGACTTGCCTTTCAAAGCTGAATACTTCAGTGCTGCTACTATTGCCCAGCAAGCTATGTTTGCAGCTGCCATGAATTCATTCTCAGTGCAGCAACTTCTAAAATAGCCCTCTTTATCTTGTCACCACTGGGGCTCAACCCTAGCTTTTATCTCATTAAATCCTGACTTTCTGGGTTTTTTAAGCTCCACTAACTGCAATTAGTGAACTGAAATTTCTGCAAATGAAAGTTCTTTGATCTTTAATTTTTTCTTCATAATTGTTGCTTCTTTCTTTGCTTTGGAACAAGGAGTATACTACTTCTTATTCTTTTTTTTATATATTGGCACTCCAAGATATCAATGTTTTGAAAGGCTTTTGAAGATAGAGTGAAGAATCACTCATAATTACACCCTCTCATTATACCCAAATCTAGTTATTCCTGGTATCAACCAGCAGAAATGGGCTTTGAAGTCACAGAGACACAGTTTTAAATAGTGGCACTGTTATTTGCCATCTTTGTGACTTAACTTCTTTGTGTTTGAGTTTCCTTACCTATGAAACATAGATAATACTCTACTTCACAGGTTGTGAGGACAAAATAATGTATATAAAGCACCTAGACTATAATAGATGCTCAGTAAATGACAGCTACTATTGTTATTATTATTGTCATTATCACCATCATCAAGATAGCCAGTGAGTGAATCCCCACATAAAATGAGATAGTTGGTCAGGTATCCACCATCTGGAGCATGTCATCAGCCTTGCTTATGGTTCAGTCATCATTAAGCTATAATAGTGCTAACTGCTTTTGTTATCCATGATGGTACAGAAAAGATTAAGCATTAGGCCAAGGGAACTAGCTTAAGAACAGAACTTTATAAGGTCACAAACTTACTTTTCCACAAATGAGAAAGGAATACCTATGTCCAGGAAATATGCCCTGAAATATGCCCAACCCCAAAGACTCCATACTCAGGTTGTTTTCTGTATTTACTTTTGGCCTTTGCCACATGCAGATATGTTTTTACATAATGCATGTACCATTTGTATCCTGCTTTTTTTCTTTTTTTTATTTAATTTTATAGTTTAAGCACATTTCCCTGTTATTACATGAGTTTATAACTAATGAAATTAAATATATTTTTCTAATGTAAAAGTAATATAAGCATGTTATGGAAAATATAGCTAAATGGAAAGAAAAATTACCCATAATTTTATCGTTATCAGAGATAACCACTGTTAATATTTTGGAATACTGTTTCTACTTTTAGTCTTTTGTTATGTGTACGTGTGTATCTGTGTGTATATTCGTTTATTTTGTGTATATATATAGCTAGATAAATCCATGCGTATGTGCATGTAAACATAGACTACCTTAAATAACTTTATTGTTTTTATAAAAATGGTGCATGCTCATTATGAATAATTACAGTTCAAATCATGCAAAAGGTACAAAGAAAGAAAGCAAAATATCACCCAGCTCCTTCCACCATGGAGAAACACTATTATGCTGGTGACTTTTCCAAATACCAGTATACACATATAGATTGTGCATATATTTTTTAATAATGGTATGATCGTATCATATATATTTTTTCTTTTTATACTGTTTTTATTTAATATAACATTTTCCCACGTTATTAAAAACATTTTCATTAACATTTTTAATGACTACATAACATACCGTCATACCACAGTTAACTATTTTCCAATGTTGAACATTTAAGTTTTTCCCCTTTCTCCTTTCTTTGGTGTTATAAATAACACTCTAGTGAACATCACTACAGAACACTCTTTTCATGTAAGCTCCTATAGCTTTCATTTATATTGGATGACTAATAGCTCATTAAGCAGTTCTTCCAACTTAATCATTTGCCTCAGATTACTTCTCTTCAGCATCTTTTAAAGTACTTTTATCGCTTAGTGACCATTATTACCCCTTTTCTGGTGTAAAAAATCTATATTCATTGGAGAAGAATTGGAAAATACAGAAAAGCACTCTTTAACTGTCTGCTTTTGGTTTTTTTTTCCATGCATAACCTGTGTTTTTTGTTGTTGTTATATAAAATTGAGAACATAAGAAACATTACTTTATAACCTCCCTTTTTCACTCAGCAATACATACTAATATTTTCTCATGTTATTAAATATTCTGCAACATGTACATTACTTTTCAAATGACTTGCTAAAATGAAAATCAATAGCCAGAGAAATTGAGATGCCCCATACTGGAAGAAGGAGCCCTAGTGGAACAGCAGTTAAGTGCTTGTCTGCTAACCAAAAGGTTGGCAGTTTGAACCCACCAGCCCTTCGGCAGGAGAAAGATGTGGCAGTCTGCTTCTGTAATAATTTATAGCCTTGGAACCCATATGAGGCAGTTTTACTCTGTCCTGTAGGGTCACTATGAGTCAGAATCGACTCAATGGCAGTGGGTTTTGGATATTGGAAGACTGTTGTAGGAAAAGACAGAAAATTTCTTCTGGCTTGCTAGAAATTCTCAAAACCTCCCCCACTGCTGTGGTGCAGGTCTGAAAGAGAATCTGAGCAGACTGTGCCATCTCCTCTGCTTGGGAATGCTGCCAAGCCCTCCTCCCGCCATTAGCAGGTGGCCTCGGCCACATCATAGGACTGTTAGTGAGTTGCAGCATCCGCTTTATAAGGCAGCAGGGCATGACTTGTAGTCAGCCTCAGGAAGTAAGTTGACCCACAGCAGGCTCACACATATGCCCACACTAGGCTCTAATTAGCCAGGCTCGATGACCAGAGTCAAGGATGTTTTCTGAAGGTGAAAGCAAGAGCTGTAGCCCTTAGGTCTCCCTGCCACACTCTGGCAACTTGGCATAGCAAAAGGGCATAGGGTTTAGGGCCACACAGACCTGGGTTCACTCAATAGCTGTGTGATCTTGGGCAAGTCACTTGCCGCTCAGTTTTTTTCTGTAATGTGACAAAATGATACTAGCCTCATGGGGTGGTAATGAGGGCCAAAGGGGAAAATACGTGTACAAAGCGTGTAACTAAATGTTAGTGTCATCCTCTTGTCTCCCCCACTCAGCCTGGAAGACATTATGGTCTAAAAGGCATCCCTAGTGTAAAAGGCCTTTTCTAAATCACTGTATGAGCTCCAGGGCCTCAAGCCCTCAATTTCTACATCTGTGCATTATCTGCCAGCTCTGTAACTAGGATACTTTGAGGATAGGAATAAAATACCCAAACTTTTTGTCCCACTTCTGTCAAGTTCCAGGAAATTCTGAGAGATGAAAAGACTGCAAGTATGTATATGTCCACTCGATTGTAATTTGGCAACTTGATAACAGAAGCTCAGAGCCTCCTTAGAATATGACACAATTAGGACTCATGTGCCTAAAGTAGTTAAAGCTGCTGAACAGAATAGCTGGTCTTTGGGCTGTCCCATGTCTTCCCAGTTTCCCTAATTAAAGAAGGTGTTCACTGTGTGATTCATGCAGGTAGTGCCACATCTGATGGTGTGACTAACTAGTGAGCCCAGCCTTTCTTTCCAGTCAGCATATTCGAAAGCCTGGCACCTTCTGGGTTTTTCATTGTTTCTGTTTGAACTCTCCAACCGAAGCTCTGTTGAAACACCTTACAAACCCTTTTTTTGTGGCCTCCACCTTAGCCTTGCACCAGAACAGAGAAATGATAGACCCAGACAAGTTCTGCAGCCTCTGCCACGCAACTTTCAACGACCCTGTCATGGCTCAACAGCATTACGTGGGCAAGAAACACAGGAAACAGGAGACCAAGCTCAAACTCATGGCACACTATGGGCGGCTGGCAGACCCAGCTGTCACTGACTCATCAGGTGAGCGGGCCCCGCTTACACCCAAAGCAGATCAGATGCCAGGGGCACTTGGAGCAGGGCTTGGCTCCCCTGACCAACCAAGGCTGTGCTTTTCTTCCTTACGTCTTCTAAAGCAGGCATTGCAAACTCAGGTGGCTACAGAAGCCAGATAGGAAATTTAAATGAGTGAGAGAGCCAGGAAGGGATATGGTCAGCTGGAGCATACATGACCCTTCTAGTCAGCCCTAGGTGGTGTTCCTTTATCCTTTGGTTCTTCAAGAGAATCTGGAAAGTCAGATTTGTATAGACTCTGATTTTTAAATGTGCAGCTAATTTAAAATGTTTTTAAATTATTTGGTTGTGTGAGCCAAATACTTCCACAAGCCAGATTTGGGCTAAGGGCCACCAATTTGCAACCTCTGATTAAACTCCCTAAGTCTTCTCAGGGTACCTCCTCTCTCAGCAGGAAGGCCTGCTTGTATCCCTGGGATAAGAATATTAGGCTACTTCCCTGACCTTAAGATGCTAGTCAGCATCACAGGAGTGAGAATTCACAAAAAATTAGGAGCCCTTCCTATCGCAGTAACTACTTGTGGCTTATAATATCCAGGAGGGAGGGAGCATTATCATGTTCTCTTTCGGTAAATATTTGTTGAGCACCTACTGTGTTCCCTCACTGGGGATACAGTAGTGACCAGCTCTGATGCGGTCCCTGTCTCATGGAGCCCACGTGAGCATTGGTGTTGATCCTCAGGGCTCCCTCAGGCAGTGGTCTTCCTCCTTGGCCTGTAGTGTTGAGGCCCCCATAGCATCCAAGTGTGGAACAACTTGGTCTCAGGATGCTGCTGCCCAGGGTCATCTGTGCTCCTCCCACAATCATGGGGAACGTGAACACTCAGATGCTGTAGAAGTTCCAAACCAAATATGGGAGAAGGAGGAATCATGCCTCTCTAACAACTCCCCAAACACCAAAGGCAACCATACAACACAGGCTGACCCTGAGCCATACTGACACAGATGAGACGGTGCGAAGCAGTGGCTAGGAAGCAAGGGAAGAAGACTGCAGGCCAGATCCCTCCAGCAGGGTGTCAAGGACTACTCCTCCAATGCCACTGAAGTATCCTGCTTTATCCTCTTCCCAAAGGGAAAGGATGGCTGATACTTACTGCCCCCACATATAGGCAGTGACATCCCCATTTCACAAGATCTCATGTGCTGAGGAAGGAGCCCTGGTGGCATAGTGGTTAAAGCACTTGGGAGGTCGACGGTTCAAACCCACCAACAGCTCCAAGTGAGAACGATGTGGCAGTCTGCTTCCTGTAAATATTTACAGCCTTGGAAACCCTATGGGGCAGTTCTACTCCATCCTGTAGGATTGATGTGAAGTTAGAATTGACTCGATGGCAACGGGTTCATATGCTGAGGAATGTGGCAACTTCAGAACCAGGTTCCTTAGAACACTGCTTCATGATGGCCTTCTACTTTGGCCTGTGATTGATAGAACAAAATTGCATTCAAACTGGCATGACCAGGGTTCCGTTGCATTATCTCTTGTCCATTGGCAGGACTCAGGCACTGTGGATGTTTTGGTTGCTTATCTTAACTTGTATCCATTTTCTTTTACTTCAAGCCAAAGCTTCCTTCCTGAATCCGCCCACCTCCTCCATTTGTCTAAGGCTAAATTACCCGCATTTACAGGCAGTCCCTGGATTACCAACAAGTTCCCTTCCTAATCTGTCTTTAAGTCAAATTTGTATGTAAGCTGGAACAGTTAGGTACGGTTCTTATCTAACATGAATTAGTCAAATGTTTGTCTTAGTATATAGTATATAGTGTACCTTTCTATGCATAAAAAACATTAAACACTTCCAGATATACTAAAAACATCTTTAACATAATAATACAGTAATAATAATAATGTTTTGATGCACATCGCAAAGTAGCGCCCATTTGTTATTAGGAACCATTGTATGTACCAATAGGATTTACGGAGTTGGTTCCTAACTGCAGGTTGTATGTAAGTCGGATGTTCGTAGTCCGGGGACTGTCTGTAATCCTAGGACTTAGCCTTGAGCCTTTTTTCTTGCTCAAGGCAGCTGACTGCTTTACATATCAGCAAAAATCTTTCATGAAAACCTAGGCAGAGGGACAGGAGGATCACGTCCCCCTTGATATTAATACATACATTCTAATTTAATCCCCACAGTATTCCTGTAAGTCGGTATGATTATTCCGTTTCACAAATGAAGTTGAGACTTAAAGTGACTTGTTGGAAGTCATTCTGCTATGACTGTGATGCTGATAAGTGGCAGCATCAGTATGGGTCTCTACTTAGACTCCTTCCTCCTGCCTGGAAGTTCTGAGTGTCCTTGGCAGGAGGCTTTCTGAGTACAGGATGTCCAGCAGAGGCACTGAGCCCACTCTGACCCCTTCTTACAGAGGTAGAGTATGACCTAGGGTGAGCAGGCAGTGCTAATGAACAAGGATACTGCCTTAGTGAAGGATTTAGGTTTGTTAGCAGCTTGACTTCTGCCTGCTGGCTTCAGTCAAAGCTTGTTCATTCATCCAGTCAGTCATCTAACACTTAGCAATGGCTGCAGTAGTCCAGGCCCTAGGCTAGGTGCTCTCACATACTATCTCATTTAATCCTCAAGCTCTGTAGTACAAGTTTAATTACCCCCACTTCACAGATGAGGATATTATTATCAGAAAGATGAAGTTATTTACCCAGGGTTCCACACTAGGGAGGGGCAGACCTAGAGCCAGCCTTGAAAACCCAGGTTGATTTCTGTGCTGGGACCAGAGAATAGTTCCCATAGGGCTCATGGCAACTAAGGATCTCTTCAGATGTAAGAGGCAGAGATAGCATCTTCCAAGCAGATCAAACAAGTCTTGGAGTTTGTGTTATATGCCAGACCTCACGTTTTTCTTATAGATTTACTCAAAAAGACCAGAACTAAAACCTGCATATCATTTGGGCAGTGTCTTAGGCTGGGTTCTCTAGAGGAGAAAGACCAGTGAAACATATATATTTGTAAATATATATAGACAGAGATTTATTTCAAGGAAATGGCTCATGCAGTTGTGGAGGATGTCAAGTCCCAAATCTGTGGGTCAGGCATCAGGGTGGAGACTTCCCTTGATTCACGTGGTTGCAGGGGCTGACAAACCCCAGGTCAGCAGATTAGATGGCAGGCTGCTGGCTCACATCCTAAGAACTGAGGTCAGGGGATGATGAGTTGGATATAAGATCAAGAGAAGGCGAGCTTTGCCAGAACATCCATATATGTTGTATGCAAGCCACACCCCCCAAGGAAAGTCCCCTTTCAGGGGATTGGCTGCTCACATCAGATCACAAAATGGAGGATAATTACATACTACCTGCCAAACAACTGAGAATCATGGCCTAGTGAAGTTAACATATAACCTTAACCATCACAGTCCACCCCTTGTCAACTTGGCACCTGTACACGTCTCCTTAAACCATACATTATCTCTAAATAAAGACAATTATAAGGTCATACTTGCACCTAACATTATATAACTAACATGCGTACAGCCAAAAACACGCCAGTCTCATTTACATCTTATATTTTATAATAAGTAATAGAATAAGTGAGGGAAGAAAACAAAGATATTTGCTAGATAAATCTATACGTGTATATGTATATATGCATATATACATATATAACAAAACAAGGAAGAAATACTCAAAACAATTACAGTCCTCATTTCTGCAGCTGGTCTCGTGGTTGTAGCTGCTATTTAGAACTACCTTCTTACACCACCCATTTTGTATTCCCTTTGCCCTCAGCAACCACCTCAGCTGGTTCTGGTTCTTTGCCTGGTCGGGTGACCCAAACCTTCATTCCTGAAGGGTCCGGGCCATTGGTAGTCATGCCAGAATTGGGTTGCTGTAATGTTCCGTTGACTTTAATCACAGGGCATGGTAGTACCAAGAGACATCCTAAGGGATCTCCTGTATTCTAGACATACTCTTCTTTATCTCCGTTATGTAATATCAATCTGATTTTCTCTTGATAATCAGGATCAGTCCACAAGCCAATATGATAACTCCTTTCTTTGCCTGTTGATCCAGAAGTATGAGGAGCCCAAAGTGGCCAGGTAACATTCCTTACTTCCAGTTCAATGGAATCTGTGTTGTGTCTCCTGGTGGGAGCATTCCTCCCTTTGGAACTAAGACCTCTAGACCGCAGAGCTTATGGTCGTAGGGACAGAAAGCAAAAATTTTGCAAATGGGTCACTAGGGGTAATAGTGAGTGGTGCCACTCCCATTTCCACCCCTTGATTCCTGAACCCGTTAATCCTGGCTATTGGAGAAATAGCACCATATATTGGATGCTGGTTTAGAGCATATACAGCCTCCTGGGGAAAATTACCCCAACCCTGCAAGGTATTCCCACCTAGCTGTCACTGTAATTGTGTCTTTCAGAAGGCTATTCCATCATTCTATCAAGCCAGCTGCTTCAGGATGATGGGGAATGTGGGAAGACCAGTGAAATCCATGAGTGTGGGTCGATTGCCGCATTTCATTTGCTGTGAAGTGAGTTCCTTGATCCGAGGCAATGTTGTATGGGATACCATGACTGTGGATAAGGCATTCTATAAATCCACAGATGGTAGTTTTGGCAGAAGCATTGCATGCAGGGAAAGCAAAGCTATCAGAGTGTCTATCCCAGTAAGAACAAAACGCTGCCCTTTCCGTGATGGAAGTGAACCAGTGTAATCAACCTGCTACCAGGTTGCTGGCTTATCTCCCCTAGGGATGATGCCATATCGGGGTCTCAGTGTTGGTCTCTGCTGCTGGCAGATTGGGCACTCAGAGGTGGCTGTAGCCAAGTCAGCCTTGATGAGTGGAAGTCAGTGTTGCTGAGCCGATGTATAAGCTCCATCTCTGCCACCATGGCCATTTTGTTCATGAGCCCGTTGGGCAATGACTGGAGTGACTGAGGAAAGAGGCTGACTGGTATCCATAGAATGTGTCATCCTATCCACTTGAT